TCACAGGGAAAACAAGTTTTCATTTCCCATTGACAGATATTTGTTCTTGTTTTAAGCATGGACTTGTTTCATTTTGTTACATTTCTCAGTAAACAAGACTTTATATTTTGATTTTCCATCTCAGTTAAATGTATCTTGATTTAAGGATGTTTAGATATTTGTAGTGAAGACAATATTAAGGAAGACAAATTTTTTTTGCAGGGTATGTAACATTTAATAACATGATTTCATAAATGTAAGACTCTCTTGGCAAATTTTAAATACTTTTCAGGACTTTTTAAGACCCACAGAAACCATTTTAATTTATTGTATTTTATTTTATATTTTATTATATTTTTTAATATTTAATATTTTATTATATGTTTTAATATTTAATATTTTATTATATTTTTTAATATTTATTATTTTTTATTTTTTATTATATTTTTCATATTTTATATTTTATTATAGTTTTTTATTTTTTATTATATTTTTTATTATTTTATTTTCTTTTTTATTATTTTATTTAATTGTATTTTATTTTATTGCCCATGGTTCAGGAAAGAAAGAAAATCACTAAAAAAAACAAACAAACAAATAAATAAATATAAAAAACTATGTAACTGAAGTGACCTGACAAATATGTCAGTAGAATAACATGCAATAAACATTTAGCGTAATTTAGTTGAGTGTCATTTATGCTGGAGTGACTTGTATTTCTTTTTCAAGCTTTTTATATCATGTCCTTTATGCAGTCTGGCTGGTTTGTTCAAAAACAGCAAAATATTGACAGTTTATTCTAACATATCTCAACATTAACAATCTCCACCTTTATTCTAATGTATAGGGCATATCTGTAAATTAGCATATATGTAAAAAATAAAATTTCCAGAATGAAAAGATAAGGATATAATAAGGTCTTTGATCACGTCTAAATAGTATACATCCAAATGCAAAACTTTTTTTTTTCTCTGAACTTTAAATCTAAATTCCCCCGTGAGAACACACTTGTCCAATGAAAAAGTGCGGGAAACAAATGAACATTTTCATCTACGTCCATGAATGCTAATCACTGCATCGTCCTGTAATGATGATGATGATGATGATGATGATGATGATGAGCGGCGGGTAAATGTCTCTCTCACACTCATCAACACAGGGTCCAAACTAATGTATTTGTGTTTCTCTGGATCCTCACATTGATCTGAAGCGGCAGGTGAGTGTTGAACCCGTGTTAACGGGCGGCCCTGAGCTAACGAAGCTTCCCGCCGCGGCCGCCTCCCAATCCATCTTCTTGATTTAGTTGCGTTCCATATGGCAGCCGCTCAACATTTCTGCCCAACGGGAAGCTAATCACTTAACCGTTTGCTTCAAATCGTCTGCCACACGAGTGAAACTTAATGGATGTTGTCATCTAAAGTGCAATCTGTAATGCGTGAGTTTAAAGGTCTATTGTGGGAGCGTCTGGTACAGTAGTTAACAGTGAATACTAGTCCCATATATTTTTTAAATGTTTAAATAAACAAAAACTTATGTATAATGCATTATAAAGGGTTATTAAAGGGTATAATGCCTTATAATTATTCATAATGTGCGTACGCTATATCTTGAGGTAAATAATTATAACTGAATTTAAAATGCATAGTGTAACAATGAACTGATAAGTGCTAGAATGTATTAACTGTGGTTACAATTACTCACGAGATTGTACAATGTAAGGTGCATTACAAGGCATAATAAATGCATTAAAACTACTTTTATAATGCATTATACATAAAGGCTTTAAGCAAAAGTGTTACCAAACATATATTTATACTCTTAAAATATATTTTCAAAAATATATTTTCAAAAAATATTTGTGAGCAACAACATAACACCTTAGCAACCACATAGCAACACCCTAGCAACCACCTAAGCACTTTATCAACCACATAGCAACTCCCTAGCAACCACAGAACACTGTAGCAACCACACAGTGACACCCTAGTAACCACCCAAACACTCTAGCAACCACCAGAAAACCTTAGCAACACCCTAGCAACCACCAGAACACTGTAGCAACCACACAGTGACACCCTAGTAACCACCCAAACACTCTAGCAACCACCAGAACACCTGAACATCCGAGCAACCACCAGAACACCTGAACATCCGAGCAACCACCAGAACACCTTAGCAACAAATAGCAACACCCTAGCAACCATCAGAACACTGTAGCAACCACATAGCAACAGCCTATCATCATGGCATGAGTTTTGCATATGTAAACGCCACTCACACTTACTTCAGGAAAGTGGATTTGAATTCTGGATTTGACGAAGATCCAGTTTGGAGACGTAAACTCAAAATTCAGATAAAAAGTAAGAATTGCAAAAAATCATTCTGTTTAGATCTTGCGATTCTGAATTAAAATCTTGTAATTCAGAGGAAAAAACCCTGGACTGTGAGATGAAAAAAATTGCAATTATATTTTTTAATTTTTAATTTCATGGCAGAAACGGGTTCCATACAAAATTAACCAAGTCAAAAATAGTATTTAATATCCCTGAACCAACCTGTACACATTCATTTATAAATTAAACCTGTACACATAAATTAAATCAGGTAGAAATAGCTAACAATTGCAGGTTACCACTTTTTACAGTGTAGCACTGTGGTTTTGTGGTTTTATTACTAATATATCACACGGTGATCATGATATATAGTTTGGAGACCGTCAGAGAATCTGTTTATGATCCAAACACTACTAATATATTCGTTCTGGTTTCTATTTTTGCTGCTGACAAACTCATCTCCCCTGGGTTTCTACTTACACATGTGAACGGTGTTTTGTGCTATTGTGTCTGCATTTTGTCAGACACTTGGTAACATGGGATTACTGGAGCTACAACTGTTCTGCATATCAAAATTGTCATATTTTCCATTACAAAGCAGGATTTGAAAGGAATGGAGCGTTGTGGATGCATCGTCTGGTTATTTCATGGGCATCTCAGCGCTGAAACCTGACAAAACCTGAGACTTTGAGACTGAGCGTTTATGCACCTGGGAGGGAAGGTGATTGAAATGCCTCCCAAACACGACAGGGAATTTGGCAGCGGCGTGAAGAGCCTATTTCCTTGCAAATGTCAGACTCACTGTAAAACTAAGAGCGAGCTGAGAAGAAATGGGAAATAAATGGAATTGTGTTACTGAGCGCGTTCAAAAAGCGACCCAAAAATGTTCTGCACAAAGATCCAGAATCCAAATCAATGTACCAGCGCATGCAGGAAAAGCAAGAAAACCAGTTAAACCAGTCTAAGGCCGGTCTGGTTGGATGGTTTTAGAGGGATTTGAAACCTCAGAACCTGCGTAGACTGGTTGAAGCTTTTTATTTCAGTACGGTATCTCTGAATTGTGTAAATACAGTAGAAACGGTTTCTGTAATCACTGTTTAGCAACCACATAGCAACACCCTAGTAACCATCCAAACACTCTAGCAATCACATAGCAACACCCTAGCAACCACCAGAACACACTAGCAACCATATAGCAACCACAGAACACCTTAAAAACCACCCAAACACTAACAACCACAGAACACCTTAGCAACCATATAGCAACACCCTAGCAGCCACATAGCAATATTCTAGCAATCACAGAACACCTTAGTAACCACAGAGCAACACCCTAGCAACCACCAGAACACACTAGCAACCACATAGCAACACCCTAGAAACCACCAGAACACACTAGCAACCATATAGCAACATTTTAGCAACCACAGAACACCTTAGCAACCATATAGCAACACCCTAGCAGCCACATAGCAATATTCTAGCAATCACAGAACACCTTAGTAACCACCCAAACACTCTAGCAACTACAGAACACCTTAGCGACCACATGGAAACACCCTAGCAACCACAGAACACCTTAGCAACCACATAGCAATATTCTAGCAATCACAGAACACCTTAGTAACCATCCAAACACTCTAGCAACCACAAAATACCTTAGCAACCACCCAAACACTCTAGCAACTACAGAACACCTTAGCAACCACCCAAACACTTTATCAACCACATAGCAACTCCCTAGCAACCACAGAACACTGTAGCAACCACACAGTGACACCCTAGTAACCACCCAAACACCCTAGCAACCATCAGAACACTGTAGCAACCACATAGCAACAGCCTATCATCATGGCCTGAGTTTTGCATATGTAAACGCCACTCACACTTACTTCAGGAAAGTGGATTTGAATTCTGGATTTGACGAAGATCCAGAATCCAATCAATATACCAGCACATGCAGGAAAAGCAAGAAGACCAGTTAAACCAGTCTAAGGGGCCGTTCACTTGTTGCGTCTTTTGCACGCTCAAGTTCGTTATTTCAAATCTAGACACGCGGCAGGTGTGCTCATATTGGAAGCGACTCATTTTTTTCAGGCGCGTCCGCACCGAGATAAAAACATTTTCAACTTTTCAGAACACCGCAAGCACACGGCGGGTCATGTGACAAGAACCAACCAATCAGCTTCATCCTTTCCCGTAACAACATTGAAAGCTCAGCTAAGATGTAGGAACAGCTGATCATAGCTGTACAGGGATAGCCATTTTTAAATAAATTCAGTAGCAGAGCTACTGCAAGCGATTTTTTGTGCTGCAAATCCATTTATCCTTTGCTGAAACTTCCGCGTCTTCATGGAGAGCGCAGGTCACGGTTGCTTAGCAACGGCAGATGCCTCCGGAGCGCAAGCGCCCGAACGCTTTGGAAAAAAGCATTTCTCTAAAGATTTTAGAGAGATTTGAAACCTCAGAACCTCCTTAGACTGGTTTAAGCTGTTTGTTTCAGTACTGTCTCACTCAATCATGTAAATACAGCAGAAACGGTTTCTCTAATCATTGTTGACGGTGACTCTCCTCATGTTCACTCAGATGGAAATTCTGAACAAAATGAAACACAAGGTTCCTCCGCAGAGAGAAAATGATAAATGACAGATTGGCAGCAGCAGCAGAGACGCCGCTATCAATCCTGACGCAGGAAGTAGATGCTGAGCACGGCACCAGCCGAGAGGAAACGCATCGCTTCAGATGAGAGATTCATTATCAGGAAAACAAGAACACAATGCAAAACATCTCAACTCTTTACTTAATTTGGTGCTCCCGGTCGAAAATGACTGGGCTTTTGAAAACTGCTTGTAAATCTCTCATTATGCTATATTATCACATTTCGGATTTAATATTTTTGTTAACGCTTAAGCACAGGTTTTGTATTTCTTTTTGGAACTTACTGATCGTAGGCTCATTGATTTGAGCATTAAAAAGCATTACTTGTGGATAATTTTGCCTCGAAAACTGAGGTGCATGAGCTCAGATCAATGAGGCCTACGATTAATCAGTTCCAAAAAGAAACATAAAACCTGTTCTAATTGAAAGAAAACAAGTTGATAAAAAGATTGAAACCAATATTTGGTAATAATACAGCATAAGGAAAAAATTATATGCAATTTTAGTAGGCCGGTTTGACTGGGGGAGGGAAAAATCCACAAAAACTCAGCAAAGTCAGTTAAGTTTTAGTCCAATGCGATAAAACGAACTAGCATTTTTGAGAAAAAGAAAATCCTCTCGGGTTAAACGGTCAGTGCAAGCCTTCATTTCTTCATGCAAATGAGCCAGACATGTTCAAATCGTTTCAATGAACTCCACGAGGTTCAGTTTTACACCGAGACGTTGAAGCTTCAGTTTAGTTGAGGTTTATAAAAATATGTTTTTATTCTTTTCAAATTGCCTCCAGCCATCTTAGGACAGAAAGAAGGACAACGCAAAGTACACAAGCACCTTCCCGCTGCGCTTTCAGTCGACGCTCGGCGATGATTCAGCGCTCATGCATATCTAATACCGCTGGGCTACTTTAGTCACCGTCCCTGCAGACTCAATCCTCAGACCTTTCCATTTCTGTTTTCTCTCTTTATTTTTTTCAAATGTAACCAGAGACATTTTCTCTCTCTTTCCTTTCCATTTTTCCGGGCGTAAACACATCCATTTGAAGTCTAACCTGAACCCCTGCAGATAGAGTGAGTCTGCGCTGATAGACCTCGGAAAAAGGATCTTTTAAACACAAGTAAGTTTCTCAGTGTTTTCCAGGAGAGAAACATAAATAAAAGCCCCCGTTGTGCCACGGCGATGGCCCCGGGCCCCTGGAGAGCCACGCGGCAGATGTACCCTCGAGCGGAGCACTCTGTTCCAACCAGCACCACATAAAACACAGAAAAGCCACTCTGTTCCTCGTTTGCAGATATAAATCTGGGTGTTTCGCTGACACTCACCTCTGGGTGATACGCAGCGGTGGCTCCACTAATGTGGGGAATGGAGCTCTAATTCTACAGAACGCTTGGCCTTATATGTCAGCAACAGCTGAAGACGTTTAGTGTCTCTGAATTCGAACGCTCCTCACGCGATTCTTACACAATTCAGTTTTAGGATGCTGGGTTAAAATAACAAGCTAAGGGAAATTAGAGAAGAAGAAGAAGTGAAACAGGAAACATTCTGACTTGAATTATCAAGTGTTTTCATTTGTTTTTAAGACTGTAATGTTGTTTATTACATTTATTTATTACATAATGTTGGATTTGAAACCTCAAAACATCCTTTGACTGGTTTAAACTTTATTTCAGTGCAGTCTCTATAAACCATGTAAATACAGTAGAAATTATTTCTCTAATCACTGTTTGGCAAGCACCTGGCAACCACCCAAACACTCTAGCAACCACCAGAATACATTAGAAACTGCCTAGCAATGCCCTAGCAACCACCTCGAACACTCTAGCAACACTTCAGCAATGACTAGAACAACTTAGCAACCACACAGCAACACCTTAAAAACCATCCAAACGCTCTAGCAACCACCAGAACACTTTAGAATGTACCTAGCAACACCATAGCAACCCCCTGAACACTCTAGCAACCGCATAGCAACCCCCTAGCAACCACCTGACACCATAACAACCACAAGATCACTTTTGGAACTGAATAGAAACACCCTGGCAACCACCAGAACACTTTTTGCAGCCACCAGAACTCCTCATAACAACATCCTAGCAAACAGCTGAACACCATAACAACCACCAAACACTTTAACAACCAAATAGCAACACCCTAGCAACCAGCTGTCACCATAAAAACCACAATAACACTTTAGGAACTGCATAGCAACACCCTAGCAACCACCAGAACACTTTGGCCACCACCAGAACTGCTTATCAACTACATAGCAACACCCTAGCAACCACCTGAACACCATAATAACAATCAAACACTTTAGCATCACCCTAGCAACTACCTGTACCCCATAACAACCACCAGAAAACTTTAAAAACCACACAACAGCATCCTAACACTCTAACAACTATCAGAACAACCTCTAACTCTACAAACGCATAGCAACACCCTGGCAACCACTTCGTATACTCTAGCAACCATCAGAACATCTTATCAACCACATAGCTAAACCCTAGCAACCACGCCTTACACCCTATCAACATGACACGAGTTTGCAAATGCAAACATCCCTCACACTTACATCAGGACCGTGTTAAAACTATTTTACAGCATGCTGATGTAAATGTATATGATATACTGTATTATGCAGGTATCTATGACAGTTGATTCTAACTATAAGTGACTCTCTATTAAATTGTGGAGCTGCTCTTTGTTTGAGGCGTTTAAGCTCACAGTAGCATGAGGTTTCTATTAGTATGTATGACTGATGATTTGAGCGGCGTATTGAAATGAGCACTGAAGCCTGACATGAGCTGTCAGCACGCCATCAAACGCACTTCCCGCAGATACAGAGGTCACCTGCACATTTTCACTCAGACTTTGACGTCTCAGACAAGCACGAGTCTCCCAGCATTCTCTGCTCTTAAAGGAGCAGCTGTGGCGATGCATACTGAAACGACGC